ATGAGCGCTCGGTCTGTCTGTGTGGGAAACTTGTTCAAATGATATCTCAAGAAGCGATCATCATATTCAGATGAAACAAGTCTGATAATATGGAACATGCAAATTCTGATAAGATTTTGGTCAAACCATGCATAACTAATTTGTATCAATTACTAGACCAAAGTTCTACTTAATTCCAAAGGACTCCGGTGCCCCTGGGCCCCATGTTATGCGATATCGTGAATGAATGAACGTGCTCGGTCAGTTTTCATTCAAATTTGGCGCATACATGTACTTTATACATGTTAGGATGCATGTCATGCATGCAAAATCTGGTCAAGGATGTCTGATTGACAGCCATCTGACTTTTTGGCCTTACTACTATATTTCCACAGTTTATGTACCATTTTCATTCGTATTTGGCACATACATCATACATATCAGTGTGTTTCATAATCAGATGAAAGATGGCCTAATAACAGCTGTTTTATTTTTGGCCATATTACTACTACACGGAACACATGTTTTGATGTAAATAAACAATCTGTTGTATACGCCACTTGGAACTCAAGTTTCAAGGACACGCTCGCGAAAACCCCTCCACTTTAATATGATGAGCAGAAAGCTTTCAAAAATTTAACGGGGACTGTGTCATTTTCAATGACTTGTTGATATATACATTGTGTATATATTTGTGATGCTATGATTAGCAAAATATTTTGTTTCATGTTTAAAGATGGTAAATTATACCAGTGATGCCAGGCTACCATAAATGACCTCCCTTTTCTAATGGGGTAGACAATACACAGCTACAATAGTTTAACTATATTTACATTTCCATTGTAGGTTGATGAGTTAGTATGTGCTTTCTGTAAAACAGAAAGCTGGTGGTATCGTGGTATAGTGAAAGCTGTTAAAGGAGATGAAGCACTGGTCCAATACTGTGATTTTGGTAATCATGAAACAATACCCAAAACGTTGTTAAGACTCTGTAAACAGGACCACTCAGCTCTTCCAATCCAAGCAGTGCATTGCACATTAGCTGGTAAGATTTTTATCAGCATTTTAACACATGTATTGGGAAAACAGAGCTGATACAGCAGTTTGTGCTTATTTGCCTTGCATCAAAGTACATTTGTTCTCTATTTCCAAAAAAACTTGGTATTTAATTTGGGAGAATTGCACAAGAAATTAAAACAAAAAACAAAACAAAAAAGTTGCCTGACACAAAATAGTGTAAAACACAATGTATCGTTCACATAAATGTTTTGTACAAATTGATATTTTATTGTTTTTATATGGAATCATACTTCTGCATTTCATTTTAGGTGTTGTACCAATCAATGAAGAGAGCCGTTGGACAAATTCAGCAATTGAACTATTCCGTTTGAAGGCTGAAAATAAAAACTTAGTTGCTAGATATGTGGATATGGTAGGTGATAAATATCAAGTTGAATTATTTGATGAAGGTAAGTAATTACAATGTGACTTGTATTTACATGAGTTTTGGTCACAACAGACCTTGGACTTCTATGTTGGTCATAATTCCCTTCTTAAATTATAAGAGTCAGTGATTGTTGCTGACAAAACCGTCTCTGAACTGTAAATCATCCTACCAATCTCGGCATCTTCATCATCAGTGGGATATAGTCGAAACAGGATTATAATTGTCTTGTGGCCAATTTGACACAGTGCATCACTGGCAAATAACTGATGACCATGATGTATATGCACCATAACCTGCAGCAATTCTTGGTTTGCGCCCAATGCTTGAACCCTCTACCTGATCTCGCCCAGCTGCATCCTCTACCCGGTTTCGCCCAGCCGCATCTTCTACTCTGTTTCGCCCAGCCAAAACCATCTACCCGGCCTCGCCCAGCCGAACCCTCTACCAGGTCTCGCCCAGCCGAACCCTCTACCAGGTCTCGCCCAGCCGAACCCTCTACCCGGTCTCGACCAGCCGAACCCTCTACCCGGCCTCGACCAGCCGAACCCTCTACCCGGCCTCGACCAGCCGAACCCTCTACCCGGCCTCGACCAGCCGAACCCTCTACCCGGCCTCGCCCAGCCGAACCCTCTACCCGGCCTCGCCCAGCCGAACCCTCTACCCGGCCTCGCCCAGCCGAACCCTCTACCCGGCCTCGCCCAGCCGAACCCTCTACCCGGCCTCGCCCAGCCGAACCCTCTACCCGGCCTCGTCCAGCCGAACCCTCTACCCGGCCTCGTCCAGCCGAACACTCTACCCGGCCTCGTCCAGCCGAACCCTCTACCCGGCCTCGTCCAGCCGAACCCTCTACCCGGTCTCGCCCAGTTGAACCTTCTACCCAGTCTCACCCTGGTTTCTTTGTTAGAAGTTTTTTGATGCCTTACAAGTGAATTTTTGAGAAATTACTGCAGAAGAGCTAGTTAAACAACTTCTGGTGTGCATTTCAGACGAATCTTAATGGAAAATGCTTTGAATATTAATTTTCTTCGAACATTGAGCAACGAGTCCCATGTGTGATTCAATCACAACTAAATCCACAGAACTGCTTTATATTCGTCCACTGAATAGATCCACTGCAATCCACTGGAGACATAATCAACATTTTTTTTTCACTTACAGCTACTAATAAAAGAATGCATCATGAAATTATCAAGGCTAAACTTGGAAAATCTAATGAAATAAAGTCTAATGGGTAAGGGAAATTATATATGATAATCATTCTTCAAATTTTTTTTTTTTATTTTTTATTGTCACATTTTTGGTGAATGTGTAAATGTAGTCAATTGAGGATGCCATTTAACTTTTTGTTATCTTCAGTGTTTAACATTTTCAATGAATTTAAATATCTACTAGAACTGTTGGCTTGTTTTACCCTATTAAAGTGACCGGGCTGGTATTAATTAGGGTTAAACCATTCAGCAAAATAGGGAAGGATGTGCAGTCATGATTTCGAGCAATTTAACTAATCTAATCTGGTTGAAATTTTGTAAGAGTACGTGATAAATAAATTAACAATATTGTTGACTATGAGGTTTAGATTATTCAACGTAAATTAACAGCATGAATTACGTTTGTTTCAGTGTTGCTGTACATAGTGCAGCTACACCTGCTTTTGAATTCTCTTGAATCGTTTCATTAAAAGTCATGAGTAACTTCAATAATTGTTTTCATACATTCTAATTACGAGATTATTATCAAACTTGCATACTGTAGAATACTTTATTTTCGCTGAAAGGATGATTCCGTGAAAATAAAATCCAGCGAATATACTTTTTTCCCTATATTTCACATTCAGCTCGTCAAAAATCAGTGAAAGTAAATTCCATACAAAACACCAAAAATGTCTTTTCAGCGAAAATTAATTCCAGCGAAAATAAAGTATTTCACAGTATATCATGATGGTTAATCTGTATGCATAGATGACCTGCCCTACCTTATCCAGTGATTTTTTTCTTACGTTTGTAGTCCATCTTCCCTACTTTTTGTATGCCATCTTATGTTGTGATCACCTATGTGCTGATATCCCCAGCCTACGCTATGATCTGCCCATTCTTGTATATGCAAGCCATGTGTAGTTTAACTTTTATTTACAAGCAATGCTGTTATGTTTGTTATGTTTTATCTATAGGATTGATTGTGATTTATCTCCTACAAATGGTGAGGTTACATTACTGGTCGAAAGTGATAACGTAGAGATAGATGAGAGCATGGTCTGTTCTGTATCGTCTGTCAACTTGCCAAGCGAATTCTGGTTACAGAATGCTTATAAAGCCAGAGAGCTGCTGGATCTACAAGAAGATTTGAATCTTTTTTATAACAAAATGCCTCCACGATTATTCAGGTGCTTTATTACTTTCTGTAACTGTTGGCTTGTATAATCTTAGGTCATAACATTGTAAAATTAATTCATTATTATACAGTCAGGACTGAAAACAAAAGGATTCTCTAAAAAGCGTAATTTTTCAAAACGTATCAGCATTCAAACATAAATATTTTTAAACTACGTTGCCAACATTGATGCATTCCACAGTATTGACATCACATTCAAACACTTACCTTTGTTTACATCGAATGTAGAAGCACTATAACGTGTAACGGAAATAGAATCTGATACTAATACTGCTTGCGCAAGATTTAGATTCAGGTTTTTCGAACATCATGGATGCATGCTTTCCTTCACTTTCAGACCCAAAGTTGGTGATATGTGTGCTGCAAAATTCACACTGGATAACAACTGGTATCGAACCATGGTTACAGAGATTGGGTCATCTGCTGAATTTCCTACAGTTTTCTACATTGACTTTGGCAACAGTGAGACATTGAATGTTGTCAATCTCCGCCAACTAGAAGAGCAGTTCACTCCATTGCCGATGCAAGCAATGAGATGCAGACTCAGCAACATCAAACCAACCACGAAAGAGTGGATTCCTGATGCTATCAATTATTTCAAAGGAAAAGTGGAGGGAAGCCATGTAGAGGTGAAATTTACAGGCAGAGAGGACAATGTACTTAGTGTTCAGATGTTCACACCTGATGACAAATCAGTCTCAATCAACGAGGATCTGGTGAAAAAAGAACTTGCCTTACCACTTGGAAGTGACGAAGGTGCTACATCCCAACTTCCAACAGCCGAGTCGCAATCTAAATTGTCCCCAGGTCAAATCAAACCTAATTGTTCAATGCCTGGAGGCCCTGTCCAGATTATCTCTGATCTTTCTCTGATATCACTACCCGACATGGATGGTGGGTTTCCAGCATGTGTCACTGATATTACAAATCCTGAAGATTTCTACATCCAGTTAGCAACACTTGAAGCAGTTTCACACCTTGCTGGTTTGATGTCTTCTATAGCATCCATATATCCACAGGAGTCTGCTCCTCGTTTTGTCCCAATGAAAGATCACGTATGCTGTGCCAAGTTCAGTGAAGACCAAGCCTGGTATCGTGCTGTTGTCAAGGATACCACTGAGAACAACCAGATCAGAGTGCAGTTTATTGATTTTGGTAACTATGGAATGGTATCAGTAGATGATATCCAGAGTTTAGATCCTCAGATTTCTTCAACACCAGTACTTGCAGTGCATTGTAGTCTTGATGGTGTAACTGGTAGATCAGAAAATAACAATTGGAGTACAGATGCCATACAGCTATTTGCTAGCAAGGTAAGTCCCAATAAACTGCCAGGAATTATGAAATTGAATGATGGCACAGGACTGTAAAATCTGTATTAGAAACTGCGGCTTCTATTAAAATGGTACAAAGCAAGAGGGGATGCGGCTTCTATTAGAGCATCTACACATATGAGAAATGTTAAATTTTAGATTCTCAATTATTCAAAAAGAATGGGTGCCACTTATATTAGGGATGCGGCTTCTAATACAGATTTTACGGTAGTTAGTGTGTTCACATTGGCAAGGTTCTTGGTTCAGTTCCCGGCAGTATTAAATCTTCCAAGTATTGTCTGCCCTGCCTTTCCAATCACATATTATTAGGTTTGGGAGAATTCTCTCACACATGCACATGCAATAAGCACAGAAGAAAAAACTGCGGGAAAGACAAGAATGACTTTCAAAAAATATCGTCTGGCACATAAATTTAAAAAAAAAAAGACAAGGAATTGGAAAATATGGTTGTTTTAACCCCTGTTGGTTGATTTCCCAATAGTAATAAATAAATAAATACTGTAATTTGGTATAATTTTAGTTTACTCTTTTGTTTGTCTGAATTTATCTTATAATTATCTGAATAACTAATCATGATGTACTAAATAAATGCAATCGACTGATTCAGCCTCAACCATGAACTCTTAGACAAAATTCAAGGTGAACTGAGGGGAGATAGACATTGGTCATTTCGTGAAATTAACATGAGCAACCAGTTTAAAATTTGTGCCTTGTCGATTTTGCATAATTTCATTGTTCATATATGGCATATCCATATTTTCTGATGTGTATCTAGCAATGAAGCAGACGCCTCCATAGCAACTACATTTGTACATATAAATAGGTAGTTCTGTAAAATCTGTATTAGAAACTGCGGCTTCTATTAAAATGGTACAATTCAACAGAGGGGGTGCAGCTTCTATTAGAGCATCTACACGTATATGCGGAATGGTGAATTTTTGTTCTCAATTGTTCAAAAAGAATGGGTACGACTTACATTAAAGATGCGGCTTCTAATACAGATTTTACGGTTTTAGATCCACAACAAAAACTATATATGTTTTAATAGGTTCTGAATGAACAATGTACCCTGAAGATTGTCAAAGAAGGGAATCCATGGAATGTGGAGTTGTACTGTAAAGATGATACAAAATCTATTAATCAACAACTCATTGAAGAATACCTTGCTAATAAGAAAATGCCTCCAGTACCAGGTTAGTGGAATGAAGTATAATTGTTTGGAGTAGTAGTAGAATTCTGTTAGAGATGCGGTTGTGTTGTATTAGTACCATCAAAGGTTAGTCGTTGGTTACTATGTATCATAAATATTACTATAATACTATGTGGCATATAGTGTCATGGTGGATTTATGTATCGCAGTGGTGGGTTTTTGTTAACGTCAATTGTCCTTATGCTGGTCATTGAGGTATGTATAGTACCCTCTAAACAGCAAATGAGACAAGTTTTGAGACTCTGATAGATGAATATGCCATTTGAGACCATATTTGAGACCAATTTAGAGACTCGGATGCCACGCAGACCAGAAATGAGACCGTTTTTGAGACCAGCTTTAGAGACCGTCAATTTGCATAGTCTGATTGGACAACACAGTTACAGTAAACACTAGATCTGTTTGCCCCTGTAAAAAAATTTTTTTTTGTCAGTGGTCCTATTGTTTGAATAAATATAGAAAATATGTTTCTGAAGTGGTCAATTTGTTTTATTATTTTTTCAGTGTTTTAAAACTGGGATTGAAGTGTGTATTAATTGAATAAATTTAGCGTTTCCCCTTGAGATTACAGTAAAGGTTTGCATGGCTAGTAAATTTGACCTCGGACTAGTAGTAGTTACTAGTCTGTGACCCAAGAAATCTGACGTGACCAGGCCACCTGTCAGATTCAGATTAATATACACGTCTTTATTTGTACTATAAGGCCCATGGCCCAAAATACATAAATAATGAATGAATTAATAAATACAAATCTTGGTTGGTCAATTACTATTTACATTGCATCTTAATCTTAAAGAATGTTCCCATGGCGACAAGTTTTATGTCACGCTCCCCGCACATGTAAACAAACATGGCAACATGAAAAAATCTGGTTTCTGGAGCTGGTTTACAAGACTACACATTGATATTTGATTATGGTATAGAAGATTATGTGGTGGCCGTGAAAAGGACCGTTTCGTCTGTGTTGTGACACAACAAAAATTTATATTTTCTGCCAGTTCCTCAGCAGAAAAATCCTCAAACCAGTCATCTTCGTCATCGTCGTCAAGCAAGAGGTCAGAAAAAATATCTGTGATTTCCTCATTGCTTATAAGGTGGTCTTCTGCACCGTTAACAGAGTTGGTGATACCACACATGTTGAACGACTTGAACACCATTGATTGTTGATCTACCAGCTTCTGCCAGGCATGGGCGATCCAGTCAACGATTGTCTGCTTATCAGCTGTTGTTAATCTGGAATCTGTTTACCTGTTTAGGCAGCTTTCTGGGCTGCATCCCTAATAAATTGTTTCCACAACTTCCTAAGATTGGCTTTGAATGGCTTATTAATGCAAACATCCAATGACTGCAACTTCGATGTGCACCCACCAGGAATGACAACACGTTGACATGGCGATGCTTTAAATTAATCAGTGATATGAGCACGAAATGCGTCCAGAACCAACATGGAATATCACTGTTCAGTGTACAGTGTCAAGATTTCATCAGCCCATTGCATCATAAGTTGTTCGTTCATCCAACCTTTTTCTTGCACTGTAACAACAAAACCAGGTCGTGCCTTGAGCTTCAAGTCTTGTTTTCTCTTAAAAATAATCATAGGAAGAAGGTCGCTGTGTGGCGTTACCATGAGAACAACCATCAGATGTCTTTTTTTTCGCTTCCTGTGGTTCACGCTTTCATCGTTTTCACACCTTTTTCACATCAACTGTCCTATTTGGAATCAAGTCAAAATATACCAGTGTCTCATCTATATCCAGTATAATCAAATGTCAAAAAATTGTCTATCTTGGCATCTAGGTCAGTTGGCAATCCCTGTGCAACGGATGTTTTATCTGCAAGGCAAGATCATTGCGTTGCATAAATCATTGACACCATCCATGGGATCCCTTGAAATCTGGAAATTGTGGTTTGATGACAGATAGAGCATAGACCATCGATCGTCACTGGGATTTGCCTGTCTTTTTGCTGTTGAACCCTTGACAGAATCTGTTCATCAAGTTCGTTATCGTAAAATGTTTTCCACCCACCACCATGTCGTCTTTCCCCCAGATATAAATTGCTCACTGTCAAAGTCATATTTTTTCCTGCCCTTCAGTGACAGTGGGATTTTGTATTTTCTTGTGAGCAATAATGTTTGTCTGTATACTTCTTGATGTTTCTTGATATTGAAGGACTTGTATACTCCTCTGGTTTTTGGGGTGACAGGTGGTGATGGACCAGTGTCAGTTGCATTATTGTCGAGTTGGTAGTATCAATCAATAGCATCTGCTGGGTGTCCATGGATTCAACACTAACATCCAAATGGGCTTTCTTTGGTGGTCTACCATCTGGGCATTTAGTTTTTGTAGCTGTTGGTGTTGTCTGATACACAGACGCAGGTACACCAGGGACCTCGGCAGGCAGTTGCCTTAGTAAATAATGAATTAATTTAAGACATAGCTGGTGAATGACATTATATACTGATACATGCTTCTGGGAAAGCTTCCCCCAGAGAGATTGCCACTTTTATAGCATGATTCTCTGAAATAAATAAAAAATAAATAAATAAAAATAAACTAAATAAAACAGATAATTTCATTAAAATAATGACGTGCTTCATACCCCTGGCAAAGTTTCTAAATAAGGCAAAACAGAAATCGGGTATATGATAGCTATCACCTTTACATTGGGAGAATCCTGTAACTATCCTTAATTTGTTTTTCCTATTAAGCTTTTAACATCTTTTATTTTTAATTTTATCTTATAGTCTAGCTACTGTATTTTTCTTATGATTTGTATTTTATTTACCATACTGCGCCCTCTGATGGCATAGTAGTGTAATAACGTTATTATTATTATTATTATTCTTTTGAAATTAAAGTATGTTACGGTATATCAGTCAATTCTCAGTTTGACATGCAATATCAAAATGATTGGTCCTGGGATTCATACCTCTCATTGTCACGTCTTGTCCATTTCGGGGAAAAATAAGTAAAAATTCCAGGTGATAGGGTGGGATGTCCCAATGCAAGCTTTTGCAAGCTGAGGTACATCACCACAAACAGCCACAGTGGAATATAGCTCCATACTTAATGTCTAGCAGGCGTGCAGATGCATTCCATGCTGGCCCATGCTTGTGAATAGGAAGTTTGTATACGAACAGGAATACGAGATAGTCTCCCGCGAATCTGACCGCCAATATCCCGCACTCCAGGACGCAACACTAAAGGTCAAACAAAGGCACACAACCAGAATATGTAAAATAATACTAATTTAATGATACAATAAGCTTAAACCATTAACGGGAGTAATATAAATCACAAACCGGTCAGCAATATACATTACAATAATAACAATAGCCCAGCTCGGAATTGCCTACTCTATCCTACCTAGTTGCAAAACTTGTACTGCGTAGTTTCAGCACTAGTACAGTCATTCACAGCAACGTTGACGACAATATTAGTTCTACAGCTCCAAACTACGAGGTCTCAGGGAATACAAACTGCACGACACTAACCGTAATGTTACGTGACTTCCATACCGTCCATGCAGAGAAAGGACCAAGATCAGCAAAACACGCTTTCTGGCGAAACACAGGTATTTGAATAAAGTAGGTTTTACAGCATAGAACCACAGCAGGCTGTCTTGCATCTATCAGTTCCACATACAGAATTGGACAGGCATTATCATGAGACATGCGCTGGCTGCCACGTGAACTGCACTGGTTGGGAGCTGGGTGACAACTGACTAACTCGTGTTTAAGTTAGTCTTGCACAATCACGAACAAAATAATATTAATTAGCATGCTGTCTATTCTAATTCCGCAGCTGGGCAAGCCTTTCTAGCTAACTGGGCATTATCAAAATACATTTATATTACAGCAAAAATAGAATATCATAACAGGAAGCATGTATTGTACGAGACATTACATTAATGTTGTGCATGACGGTCCTGTTAAAAATCAAAATATTAAGTACATCTAATAATGAATCTTTTTCCATGACTCAGATTTAAAATCACTGAATTTCCCTCACTTAAGTCCATCATCTCTACATCTTCAACACTACGTAGATGCACACGCAAACTTCTGCCATAAGTACATGTCATGCAGGATTATATTTATTGAAACACACAAGAGCAATGTCGTCTCTATGTCTCACAGCGGCAAGATGTGGTATGTCGAGGACAATCTCTACCTTTTTGTCATTCTCAACTTGACAGGGCAGACCAATTTGCTCATGAAATTGATGCTGCAGAACAGTGAATGCAATACTTTGCAATCTCTTCGTCTTGGAATATGGAAAGGTCACTGATAACAGTATGAGATTGACGAGAAAGTTTTCGCTGGTTGTCATATCCCGTCTTTCAACTACATGTCAAAATGTAGCATCTGTCATTACTGGTGTTGGTGAACTTTTGCCATTGAACCACAACATACCCTCTCTGCAAACTGCCATCTTGGTCACAGTCAGCCAGAATGATGGCAGAATCAGATAAAAGTAGTTGTATATAACACACAAAGCTCAAAACGTCTCTGACTTCAAACAATGATTTATTTCATGACACTGCGGGGAGATGTAAACTCGCTTTTTCAAAGGAACTGATCTTTACCACCCAGTCAGTTTCCTGTGAGTTTGACTCGGTTTACTGTACCGGACGTTGCTTTACCGTACCGGTCGTTGTTTTACCGTACCGGTCGTTGCTTTACCGTACTGGCCGTTGCTTTACCGTACCGGTAACCGCGAGTTGTGCATAAATTAATTGGGCATTTTGTGAACAATAAGAATTTTTACCCAAAGTGAATAATTTGCAAAGGACATGACTTGTATGATTGTTAGGTCCCGTTGTAGCCGACTAGAGGTCATGATGTTTTAATGATTTGTTTATATTTGTCAGTAGCTCACACAGTGGAAAGAAAGTCGGGCAACCCTCAAAATATAAATGAATTAATTAAATAAAAAAGTCTTTCTGAAATTCTTTGCATGTGTTTTCAATATATGTGTGTTATTCACATATTCATGATGGCCTGTACGCTATACAACGACAGTCCTACATCGTAGCTTATCCACGACGTTCAATATAGTGTTCTAATCTGTTGCATGAATTTGATGATACTTGCATAGTGTGTCGCTTGGCCGAGCTCACATGTATTTAAATTCGGGCTTTTGGCGTTCGAAATTCTGTTTTGATACTTTTTTGACAATAACATGTGCAATGCATGCATGTAGTCCAGATAAAATTCAAGTGCGTAAAACAGAATTTGACTTTGCTCTCACACCCAGTGCGAGCAATATATTTGAACATAGTTTGTGTGGGTATATTTATTCTATTCTAAGTATTATCGATGACTTTGTGTCAGAGTGACTGTATCATTGAAAAATGCATTTCGAGACGAAAAACGGACCCGTGTTTTTCCAAATGAATCCTCAGTTTCACACGTATTGTTTTCTTGTGAACAACTTAAAAGTGTCTGGACACACAGGGTTGTCGGTTATGCGTTTAAAGTACAACTTAAGTGCCGTCATTAACACCCAATTGATGTAGTAAAGCATCATCATTTATATCTAAAAATATACAAAACAAAGGCCAGAATTGGTATAAATAGATGTAACATTGAATGACAAACCACTCGTCTTCAGTATCACTGGACACCACATCTATCTCCACTCGCTCCCGACTTTAATTTTCCAAGTATTTCTACTCATTCGCATAATATGGCAACAACAGTAAATATCGAGTGGCTCCAGCCAACAAAAGATTTAGGAAAATGAGAGTATGTAATCGGTTCGAGAATAAAGACAAATGATTTTAGTGTCAGTGACACCGTACGTGTAAAGTATAGGAGTTCAACATGCGAAGATTATAAAGTTGCCTAGTAAGTGTGTAGTTTTATTTTAAGTATATTATACTTTTGTCATTTTTACCCAACAAAAACGTACTTTACGCAATTTCTGGGAAATTTAATTTAATATATTTTTATTTCACCTGGTATTTATACAGCATAAGAAATTGCCTCTCTGCAAAACATGTACGGTAGTGTTTATTTTTATTTTCATGTTTCATCTGTTTGATTTACAGAAGCTCAAAATGTAGAACCAGACTCGTATCGGAAATCAGATGTTGACGAGGAAAAGGAAGAGCCAACTGCCGATAGCGCGACCACTGCCGACATCACATTTAGCAGTGATTTTGACATACTGTGGAATACTTTATTTTCGCTGGAATTTATTTTCGCTGAAAAGACTTTTTGGGCATTATGCTTGGAATTTATTGTCACTGATTTTTGATGAGTTTAATGTGAAATATAGGGGGGGGGGAATATATTCGCTGGATTTTATTTTCACGGAATCATCCCTTCAGCGAAAATAACGAAAATAAATTGCAAGCGAAAATAAAGTATTCTACAGTATCTGACCTCCCTATCACTCCACCGCCGACGCTACCAGAACTGAATGAAAGTATTTTGAAAGCTCTACCAGCAGCACCAGAATCATCGCACATGACAATCGTCACAATGTTGTCAAGGCTGTTAGAAAATCAAGTAGAAATAAAGCAAATCAGGAAGAAATGAAAGCGGACATCATCAACATCAAAGAACAACTTGCCGTGCGACGCGACTATCAAATACGGAAACAGATGACATTGCAGCACGCACCCCCACAACAATAACAGCAGCAACAGCAACAGCAACAACAACAACAACAATGACATCATCAACAACAGTGCGATCAGAAGTGAAGCCACCACTGGAAAATCACCAGCAACCACAAACCAGTATGTCAATCCCAATACGACACCAGATCATGATGTCAATACAACAGCAACCAACTACTAATAATCCGACACCAGGACCTCTACCATCAATGGCAGCATCACTGCGCAGAAACATATATATTCCGCCAGTGTATGCAGCTGTTGTTGGTGAGGACATTGCCCTGTGAAA